TGAAGGTGAGTACAAGAAAGGGTCTGTCAATCCAAAACAAACACAACACATTGACCAACCCGAGACGACCTATGCCCATCAGGAGCTCGAGGAAAGGGATGGGAGGGACCGCGCCCAAATCTTGGTGCGTCTTGAGGGTGTCCATCTTTTGAAGGCGAAGGGGAACCGTGAAACCGCCACAGCTGCAATTAACATTTTGAAACAAACCCCAAGGAGAGCGGCGAGTGGGGAGACAAGTGGAGAGACAAGCCGCAAGGGCCGAGTCAGCAAGCACAAGCGGCGAGACAAGTGGGGAACCAAGTGGGAGACAAGCGGGGAGACAAGAGTGAGGAGACAGCAGGGGAGCAGGGGCAAACCATCCCGTGACTTGGACCAATTCTTTGCATCAATAGAGAACCCAACAGAGCTGCGTGGAGAGAAAAATCCCGGAGACAAACAGGGTTTGTCATCAGGGGTCCTCAGGTTGCCAACTCCCAATTTCTTCTCATCGCTGACTGAGGGCAGGAGAGGTCAGTGCGAGAAATCGCTGGTTTACCATTGGTTTAGAATTGGCCTATTCTAATTCAGTATCGGGGGATGTTTTGACAAACACGTTGAGGATCCTGTAATAGGGGGAAGTGGTTCCCCCCCCTCCCGAGAGAACAGGTTTGGATTCTCCGCGCAACCCTAAAGAATCAAAGGCACTTCGGCCCAAACAAGCTAACCCTGGTGCCCTTTACCTCGGTCCCTTCAAGAAAAACACCCAGACCCCACTTCTCACGGCCTTCTGCCTCAGGTGGCTTCCAATTTTGGCCGCGTGGCCAGGGCCGTAGAGGAGACCAGCGACAGAAGCAGCGGAGAGAACTGGCGCAGGAAACCGCGCCGGCCTCCGGAATTGGCTTGGCATGTCGCCGGAAAATCTTGGTTGCTGTTGACCCCCTGCAAAAAGTTTCACTTTTTGGGGGCTAGTGGAAAACACCTTTGTTTATTTCCCAAAAAGTTCAAGTCTAAAGAACCAATCCAATAGCAGTCAAGAAATCGGCATGAACCGTTGACCCCATGAAGCCTGTAGTTTCCCTTTGCACTGTCAGCCAACTCCCAAAACTGCCGTGGGGCGGTGGGGCAAACCGTGAATCCTCTTCGAGCAGGAAACAAATACAAAACCCGAGGCAAGACAAGGACCCGCTTCGCTGTTGTTCAAGCCTAATTACCAAGCCGGACAAGAGATCAACAATAGACTCCAACGAGTTCTATGGTGGATGAACTCCTGCAGCAGTATATGTGTCTTATCCATGCTTATCCCTGTAGGGGTTCGTGCATCTAAGTGAATTCGTCCATCCACATCTCCGAGGTGTTACTTGCTGGGTCCATGAAGCCCTCGGCCTGCAGCCAAGCCCGCTTGAGCCATGCCCGGCTTGCTCCTGGCGGCTGGATCATTCGGATACCATCGGTCCTTTTTTTCACCGAGGAAAACGGTTGGTACGGTTGGCATACCTCCAAAAAAGGAATCCCAACATTGTGTTTGTGGTTCAGTAAGACTTTAAGAACTCGCCCTGGTGCGCAAACCGGGTCGTCCTTTGGACGAGGAAACGGATTGGCACCTGAAAACGGAATCCTACAACACTCTTTGGTGGCTCAGTTCATGTTCAACGAGAGTCGTCGGAAAAGAAGAAGCCTGTGAGCGAAAGTAGCGGATGACCTCCGACAAAATGGGGCTGACGTGCCCCTCCAAGAATTGGCACAGCTTGTGGTAGTTATTCCTGTCCAACTGGAAACCGGCAATCCCGTAGTCTTGGCCAAAATTAAGGCGCACACACACGCCCAACAAACAACGATGGTGGTCCATGTTTTGTCTACCCCAAAATTATAATAGCAATTCTGTAGGAGACCCCAAGAGTGAAGAAACTTCTGTCCCTGTGCGAGCTCGCTATACCAGTAGCTCATTGCCCATCAACACAAGGCCAAAAAAGACCTTGACGTGTCCCGATAATGTATGTTCAAGCTCGCTCCCTTTGGCCTCGGACCACTGCAAACCATAGAGACAACAACCTTGCCTCAAAAATTGGGAACCGCGTGTGCGAACCAATGCGAAACCCCTGCGGCTTGCGGTGAAAACTGGTCATGCAACTGGATTCTTAAACTGCCCTGCAAAAATAGAACATCACACAAACAAATTGAGGCAATATCCCGTCTGAGCGGGTAGATTCCGGATGCAGGTATTTCTTGGAGTCAAACGGGAAAACCAAACTCAAAAAGGTCCGTGAGTTGGGACCTCCAATCCGAACACGTCCAACTGAGTCGCAAACCAAACGACTATGCTCAAAGGGGTCGCTCCAAAAGCCGGTACGACTTTGCTGTGCAGAAAGCGGCACCTATGATTTGGGAATAGACCCTCCAGCACTGTCTTCGAAATCATTCCCGGGCTTTGCTTGACCATCAGTCCTTGAAAAGCTTTCATGCTCACTTCTTGGCCCAAATTCGGGGTACACCAAAAAATGAGCCGCAGGTGGTACTTTTCTGAAAGCCGCTCCGAACCACTCTGGAGCCTGGCAAAGACCCCTAAGCTTTCCAGGGCGCAAAGGCTAACGCCTCTTACTTTTCTCAAAGCCCTTTGTATCACCAGATTGTCGAACCTCCAACTCTGTTTAGAGTTGCAGGAGTGGGATGGTCAAACCTTAAACAACTTTCAAGGCTTTGGAGTGTGGAAATTCGACCGCGCGATGTGTTGTCTAAGAAACCCCAAGAGACACAACTTTGTCCTGGCTGTATGTTCAGAGTTTGTCTCATACCTAGTCACCCCTACCAAGTCAGCCAATTCTTGTGTGCGTTTGGTGGCCCGGTTGGTTTAGCTGCCGGAAGGACCGAACAAAAATCATCATTCACCACCTTTTTAACTTTAGACTTGACCAACCATGAAAAAGATGCATTCCATTCCAAGAGGTCTCCAAGAAATGGTCATCATCTGCAACGTTGAACCAGCAATCCAGCTCACCCACCCGCGGACTCCTTCCATTTCACGAGGCACGGGCCACGGTTCCACGGCTCAGGATAAAGCCATTGCCCGAGATCGGGCCGTCTCCAAATGGGTGTGTTTTTGTTTCGGGCAACCTTTATTTGAGATGGATTGAAGTGAAACCAAAAGGGAACCACCCATTCTTTGGATGCCCCATCATTCAATGGAGGGGTCTTCCCAAGCGGTGGGTTCCCTTTCGCTTCAGAAAACAGGATACTATGATACACTCCAAGAGTGCAGCACAAAATGTGTGTAGTGCAACACCGGCAACACAAATAAGTGTGTTAAGACGGACCTCGAAAACCGCTGGAAAGGGCAGCCAAACTGAAATCAACAGTTGAAGGAGATGCCCGGCTTGAGCCCAGTTTAACATATCCATCGAAGCTCTGTGCTGACGCCTATCTTCTGACTTGATGGGATGCCTCAGTCTGGTAGCTCATGCCATGTCCAAATGCGGGACCCAACTGTCAAACAATTGGCCCACTCCCATCCTTGAGCCGTTCTGGAGCTCATGGCGGTGCACGGTTTGCCTCCGATGGCACCTCATCGTCCTTCATGGCCCCTAATGGTCATGAAGAGTCGCGAGCAGCCAATGGCTCGTCTTGCTATGGCTCTGAATCAGTACATCTGATTGCTGGCAAGAGCCTAGCGCGTTGAAGGCCAAACTAGTCACACGTTGGATAGCGTCGGCGAGCTACCTTTGCACTCCTGCGAATTGACAGGCGACCACGCAAATGGCCTCTTGTGACAATTTGATCTCTGATGTGACCGCTTGACTTTCTCAAAGGTATAGAACATGCATCGCGTTCAAACGAGCAGCCTGCACCACGACATGCACCCAACATAATACCCAGATTTCCCACAACTGTACCTACCCCCTGTAGGCAAGGGAGGAAAGCCCGCCAAGCCTGAAAGGGGAACGGTCAACAGCGATTGCATTGTCAACAGCGCAACTTTCCTATCGAGCCCCGCAGTGGAGCAGATCAATCAGATTGCATCCAGCCAAGCTTCCTTAACTGATCTCCTGGCCAACGCTTAGGCGCCCTCTCACGCTGACCACCCCAAACGAAGAAACAAGCTGCACTGATTGCAAGTTGCTATAGCTGGCCAACGGAAAACACATAAGATGCACCCAGGAAAAGAGCCTGCTGGGCTGGGTGGCGAGCTTCGCTTTTGGTACATAACCGCCAGGTACCAAGATGACGATGCAAACAGCAATGGGACTAAGCAAAAAAAAACACGTTGACTGCTTTGAGCCAATTCTTGGAACTCACATGGATCATTCCCCGTCACAAAGGAAAGGGAGGCCAGGCTGTCACTGGGAATCCGCTAGAATCGAGAAATTTCACGAGTCTTTGCATCACCCTAGTTGGTCGGTCAAAGCATCAAATGCGAGAACCAAGGGGGGTTAAAGTGCCGCCAGAAATAGCACCTGCCAACCTAAGTAGCCGTGTGGTGCGAAACGCTGAAGAGCCAAAGTTTGTTGGTTCCGAGGCAAATTGCTTGCTAAGAAACCCTGCCGGCATGAACAACCAGAAAATCGTAGACCGAAATCAGGTGGGTGGCTGACACCTTGCCACGAGGGTGAGGCCAAAATAAGCAGGGACCGCCGGAAGTAGCTTCCCACAGGCTTCCTCTTAAACGCAACGCGGTACCCACGTTTGGCACATGGCCAAAGAGAAGCCTGACAAGTTGCCTGAAAAGTTGATGCCCATCGTGGTTGGCAAAATGCCCCAGGTTCGAACCTCTGATTCTGGGTTTCCGTTCACTGGTGGCCAACCCGCCGCATATTTGAAGGACACATCAAATCAAACGGCATCCGGTACACGTGGCTTTTTGCTTGAGGGTACCCGTTTCACCTTCACCTTCGTGTAAAGGGAAACCAAGTTGAAGGCCACTATTTTGTGGGTCCGCCTATTTTGACACATACCGGTACCCAAATCTTGTCTGGTCCGCTACAAAGCACGAGGATCGGTGCCCGTGAGCCGAGTCATGTTGAAGCCCCGGCGTGTGGCATTCGGAGAAAAGCTGACCTCAGCCATACGAGGCCTGTGTTTCCAAATGTTGAAAATTTGCGGAATGCACTGACACAAAAAAACAAAAACAACAAGCGGTTGGCTTCCTGTTGGCCTTCTTTCAGTTTTAATTTGGCTTGTTTTGCAACATCCAAATGGCAGCCTCCGAGTTCAACACACACACACACACACACTCGCAAACACCAGATGGTAGTATTACTGCTGGTGAATAAAAACACGCCGCTTCTTCACCCAGTCGAGGTTCCACTCTGAGTGGGCCCATGCTCTATTTTCGCAAGATCCCCTCACTTAACCAAAACGACTGGAAATAGAACGTTGGCTGTTTTGGGCCGTGAATAAACAAAAACATCATCTGCAGAATGACCGACTGCAAACATACGAGCAGGCAACCTTCAAACTCATCCACGACCACGATACGTTTGGGACCATGTCCCAACCTGGAGTTTCTTTGTGCAGCACAAGTATAATCCACACCTTTCAAGCGGAAGCTGCTGAAGAACCTATTCACATTGATGAACATGAACGTGCAAATGAGTGTACCCCCGAGAAAAGGCATACCCCCCGAAAAAGGTGTGCCTCGGAAGTGGTTGGTTCCCTTCAGGTCCCCAGAAGGAGTGCCCCCAAACGGACCATGGCCAAGAGACAAAGGAGGTGCCTTCTTGTTGCTTGCTCCACATAACAAAATGAAACACTGCTGCCAATGCCAATATCATTGCGACACTGGACGACCAGTTTGCAGACCCAACGTTTTGAAAAAATCCTGAGGTTGTCAAACATATGGTTGCCCTTGTTTTGGACAAGGTGTTCCGTTCAAAAGGATCTAGCACTCGTCATTGGTCATAGCCAGGAGCTCACCACTTTGTGCTCGGGCAACTTCAGGACTTACAAGTGGTTTATTAGTTTAACAAGTTAGTTATAGACTAGTTACAACTTGTCAACTTCAATATAACTTTGTAACTTGTCTATAACTTGAACACTTTGGCCTAGGTAAGTCGCTGTGAACTTAGTGCCTTGTAAGTTAGTTAAGCACTTCATGCCTTGTGAAGCTACACTTACGCGCAACGTAGGAAGCTATGTTTTTCATGTCTTGGTTCCGGAATTGTATTTGGACATGCCATTTTGCTAAGACAACACGCCAATGCTCTTTGTCGTCAGTGTTCTTTGGCCGCTTCTCGGCTCAACCCAGTGGTGATTTTGAGATAGTGCTGTTTATATTGTCGATACGTGTGGACACTTTGTTCGGCGGTGCGTGCTCTTGGCTCAATGGTGCGTGCTTTTGGCTAACGCTATGCTAATTGCACGCGCGCGGGTTGTACGCGGCGCCAAATGTACGCGGGCCGAAATGCTGGGCGAAATGTACGCGGGATGTACGCGGATGCGACAGTCACAGGGATTGCAGGTTGGCCTTGACAAGAATTGAACACGTTGGTTTTGCACGCGATGTACGCGGGCCACCTGCAATGTACGCGAACGTACCTGGATTGTACGCGCTCGCACGCGGTCTTCGTGATCCGTTGTGATCCTGTGTACCTTGCGTCTGCCTGCGCTTTCCGCTTGGCTCACTATGTGTTTGTCTGGCGCTTTTCCCACAACATAGCTGTTTGGCTCACTAGGTGTAGCCGGCTGAAGGAATTTGTGCTCAAAGCCACAATGGCAGAAGAAATTGGATGCAAGGCGCGCTATAAAACCACGCGAAACACAAACGAGCATGAGAACGCGCAGAGACCGAGCAAAAAAGATAGAAACTGTTGACTAACTTGTAAGTAACTTAGAAGTTTCTCCTAACTTCCCTACACTAACTTTCATAAGCTCTCTATAACTAACTAACAAGTCTTTAAGTTGCCCGAGCACTCCTAGTATGCCTGCTGTGGAAACAAAAAACAGACACGCAGCCTTTGTGCTTGCGTGGAATTGCTCCCTTTCCTTTGTATTGGCCCAGCAAGGTCCGAGCTTGTGGTTTGCTCCCAAGATCATTTTCCAACTCGCATGAGGTCCAACCAGAATAGCTTGGGATATCAGCTATGTGTCGGCCCTAGTTCAACAGCTTGGGTATTGGAAGGTGATCAGTTCGGCACCAAGACGGCCAGTTGCAACAGACTGGTGGTTTCCCGTCACGTACGAGAAGGACCCATGCTTCGCTGCTACCAACTGGTAAAAGAGCCCGCCCAAAACACAAATGATGCTGCAAGCAATCCTCTACAAGGCTTGGGTAGAGACCGTGCTCAACCATTTCGGACAAGGAGAGGTCCTGATGCTGACAGACCTCCACGGGATGAAACAAAACATTCCACCAGCTCAGGAAGCGAAATGCTCCGCTGAAAGTCTGGGAGTGGTTGAGAGGGCTCCGAGCATCCTAACCACTTTGCAAGCTAGCGCCCGCTAGGGACTTTGTAGCCCCAAACCACGCCTTCATGCACTTTGCAAAGCGCTGGGCCTTTCCACACGCCACAGACCACCCAAAACAAATCCTTAGGCCCTTGCGTAGAACCACATCCCGACACCCCAACACAAAATGCCTGCCTCCGGCAAAGGCCAGTCTTCGAGAGAAACGCCCCCTTTTCGCGAAGCTTTCGCGACTCCATTGCCATGCCCGTTTGTTTGCAGCACGCGCCCTGGAGTCCTTGTTGTTGTTGTTGTTGTTGTTGTTGTTGTTGTTGTTGTTGTTGTTGTTGTTGTTGTTGTTGCAGCCATTCACAACACTGTGGCAGGCTTGCAGACTTTTGCAGCAAAGTGAAATGAAAGCAGTCGCTATCAGTCGCCCTGTTCACTTGTGCTTGCCACGCTCCATTGTGTAAGGGTACAAGCATGATTCCAAGAAGCTTTTGCTAAATCTTTCGCAAAAAGAAAACACAACTCTTTCGCAGACAAATTTGCGGATCTTTCGCGGGCACAAACGCCTGCAGTGCTATGGTTCTATAAGTCCTTACAAGGACATTTTTGTTCAACTCCCCATGTCTCATTCTCCTTCAGGGTGTTGCAGCTGCAAGAAGTGGGCCCCCCTTAGGGTGACAAAATCCTGGACTCCCTTGACTGCAGGAAATACCAACCTTTAGGGGGCAACCCGCAGTCTGACGATTTCTGGTCTTGGTTTTCAGCTCATCATGTGTCGCACCCACTGAGCTGCAGCCAAGAGGCCGCTCCAACGCAAGTCATAGCCTCAGCTGCTCAAAAATCAAACCACGTCTCTCCCTCAGCGCGTGCTCTTTTAATTGGACCTGTTGAATGGGTTTCAACGCGCTGCTGGCATTTACACAAGGCAAGCTGGAGGCAGTCTAGTTGGTCTCGAGGGGACAACCTTGGTTTTGGGGTGAGTCAGGCCAAATATGACGACACAGAAACCAAACTGCTCCATACCTAGACCTTTTGCTAGCAAAATGCAAGAAGGAATCTGTGTGTGCGTGTGTGTGTGTGACGGCTGTCTTGAAGAGATATCCGGTGTAGCAAAGAGTTGCGAACTACTTTGGCCTGGGCGCTGGAGTGTATATATATGTATACATATATATGTATTAACGTATGTGTATATATACATATATATACATATTCCATTCAGACGCGAACCCAACAAGCAATACGGTTGATGTGTTCTCGTCAACAAAACATGCTAGATTTCCCGGAATCATATCCAACAAAATGACGGGACTGAGCGGCGTGTGAATTGGACATTCAGTGTTTAAGACTAAAACTTGTCAAATCAGGATGGTCAAGTACAAGAGTTGCACGCAATCCCTTCCACGGGACATTGTGGTACTTCATCATGCAAACACAATGAGGTGATGGCTAGCAATAACATGCTGGATTTAGCCAACAATCAAGTAAAGAATCAATGTGAGAATGACCAGTGGGTTAAGATGCCTAAAAGGGTATTCAGTGGCGTCGTGATTCAAAGTGAAACACAACAAAAAGCGGATGCCCACATGTGGCCCATGAGTCAACGCCTCTACGTATCTGCAATGTCATAGGCGAGTTGACAGTTGACCACTAATTATGGTAAGCCGGCACTTTGGGGGTTCAACATGACCATGGATTCACGTGGCTCCATACTGCGCAACCAGCTGACCTCGAGCAAGCTCCAAGGAGACTTTCCCAGTGTTAAGATCAGAAGCTAAGGGGATTTCCCACAAACATACCAAAACATACAAAACAAAGCAAAACAAAGCAAGACAAAGCAAAACAAAACAAAGCAAACCAAATTCAAAACAAACAAGCAAAACCAACCAACCGACCAACAAACAAACAAACAACAAACCAAACAAACCAACCAACCAACCAACAAACAAACAAACAAACAACAGTCACACTACTTTGCAAACAACACAACAACATGTCCTTCGACCTTAGAGATTCTCGCTTGCTCCAACAGGTGGAAGACAAATCCCATCCCAAACTGGACATCATGAGGGTATGGGAAATATCTGCAAGGGCCTCTGAAGGCCAACGGACCACAAGGGGGTGGGCCCGCTGCGCCCGCATGAGTCCCAGGCCGACTGACTCCAGCTGCGCTCCGGCCTTGGAAGCGTGAAAATCCGATGGGGCGATATCCAAATGACAGGCTGTTCCGAGGAGCCTGGACGTGTGAACATTTGGACCCTTGCAACGGGAAGCCAACAAAGACCAAAGCAATAATCTACCCTTTCAGGGTTGCTTGTTCTTTGGAGGCTCAGGTTGATCGTGAAATATGATCGGCTAAGTTAGCAACCGGGTAGGCACTTGGGTTATCGCTCCCTAATAAGAACCGGTATTTCCACCTACAACAGGGGCATACAACTGGGTCAAAATTGATAACCAACGTGCAGTGTTCCAGCACCGCGGCACGCTCTGGAACAAGCCACAAACTTCCTGGACCTTCCATTGCTACAAACATTTGTGTCACGCAACAAACATTCTCGGGCCAACTAGCTTCGCCCCAATTATCCAAAAAGTGCTCGTTCTCCAAAAAACGCTCGTTTCATGAAAACGGGCTTCTCACCAAATATAAAGTGTTCCATGATCGAAGTTGCGCTCATTTTGCAGGTATGTGCGCCCGTTTTACGGGTATTTTTCCACATGTTTCCAGGCAACAGAGTATATGAGAAGAGAGCAGTCGCCACAATAGCCAAAAATGCTCAAATCCAAATTTGCGCCCGTTCCCCCGAAAAACGCGCGATTAGCAAATGTCTGCTAAGAAACACCCAAGGGACACAAATTTACGTAACAATTCCAAGGGCCAAATGGTATCCAGAGCGGACCTGGAACTGATACACTTTGGGAGCAACTTGACAGCAATCACCTTCATTGGAAGGTACTCGTCACTCAGACGAGGTGCTTCCAGACAATTCTGCAACGCTTTGAAAAGCCTCGCATTGTTTCTCGCCCACAAGTGACTGTTGAAGGCTTCACGATGACCTTGACACGGCTCAAGGACTCCTTCACCTCCCAGACAGAAGGCTGCAGTTGGATTTGCGATAGGTGGATTTCCTCAGGTCCTACATGCTGGCTCTCCGGTCAATGGAATCACTGGGGCTGGTATAAGTTCGCCCCATCCTTTGACCACATTTGCACCAGCGCGGGGCTAGGTCAAAAGCGCCGGAGAAAAAAGGGGGGAAGAAACAGATGGCCAATTTAGTTGAGTTTGGGCAACCTAGTCACAAGTTGGATATAAGAATCCCCTAAACAACCTTCATGGGAGAGCTCGACATACCCCCCGAATCCCTGTGAACGTTAATGGCTTTGATTGAATTACCAAAAATGCGCGTCGGGAAACCTTTGTAAACACCAGCCAACAAGGCTACCGGAAACGACCATTCACGCATCTTGGTCGTTGCTCAACCCTACCTCTGGGATTGCGACTGCCTAGGTTTGAGAAAACCAGCCTACCTTTTGACTAAGCGCAGAGCATGCAACATGCTACCAACTGTTGCCGCCACCGGAACTCGCCTTGGATTGGCCAAAAGTCTGAACTGCGTACTTGTTCTGCCACTAAAACCGTCTTCCCGACAAGTTATATAGGTTGGACAAAGGGTTTGTCCCTTCATGGCATTCTGCCGAGGCACGTCACAGCCTTCTGCTGCTCCCAGGAATTCAGGTCCCGTTGCGGCAGGTGCCCTACGCGATTTGCGCGCTGGGTGCGAAACCGGCAGGGAGCGTGGTTGAACGAACCCAGGCTTTGGCCCCCGAAAAAGGAAAAACCACCAGTTGGATGGTTTACAAGGGCCGTTCCCTCATTCCCTGCTGAGCACCAGCAAGTACTGGTTGCTTTGTGTGTGTGCGGGAAGTTAGCTATGGATGAACTCATCATTGTGGGTATGATTCAGAGCCCCAGAAGAGGTGCACAAGGCTTCAGCGAATTTTGCTATTCCACACCCAGTGGGAAGGGTGGGTGGGGGGAAGGCTGCTTGTGGATAAGCACTGCAGGACGTGCGGCAAGATCTTGGAAATGTGCTCCGTGGTCAAGCTGTGTTTGCGGGGAGGGGGCGAAATCCTGCGGGATGTCCCGGACTTCAACTGCACAAGATGCTACAGGACTACAGGATTTGGAGTTGTGTGCCCTCCTGGCATTTTCTTGGGGGATGTCACTTGCAGGAAGTGTGACAGGGTCTTGCAACATGTTTTTGCGCTTCCGATTTCAATCTGTGATCTCACTTTCTGAGTGGATTGGGCAAAAGGAATGGTATAAACGGTTTGCTCACCACTTAAACTGTCTTCACCAAAAATATAAGTCCGTGAACTCAGGGAGAGAGTGAAAAAAACGGCGGAAGTTGCGAGATGTGGAGATGATTCCCGTATTCGACTTGCTCGCCATGGCTTGCAGGTGCAAGGCATGAGCCTACAGAACATGACCCGGTTCACGCCTGATAGGTTGGGCGGCCGGGGAGAGAACCAGAGGGGGAGATATGTGCAGACATGCAAACAGAGCTTGGAAACGAGCAGAGTGGAACTGTGGAACCCAAAGGGACATGAGCAACTGCAGCTTCTCTTATTCATTCTGGCGGTGCCCGAACTGATAAGTCTTGGCGGGTGAAGTCAAGTTCCTCCCTTTTCCTTGCATGTCCCTTCCCATGCTTCAACAGCGACGTGTACGAGGATTCAGTGGCAAACACACACTGGTTCTTGGAATTTTGGTCAAAATCTGCCTCAGGCATAAGGTGGTCTCACGCGCCCATGTAAGTGGTCTCATAGGCTCGGTCAAAGGCCTCTATATCCCTTTATAAGCCCATTGAATTCCGACCACAAGGTGGCTTTTCTTCATGTTGTGTGTCTTCGCATGAAACCGTTGAGGGTTTGAGCGGAAAAAGGTGACACATCTGAGTGATGCTAGTGCGCAGACCGCCCTGCCCACGTCTGCGGTACGAGGCAAGCGCGCATTCACTCGAGGACTTCATGATCTCCTCTGGAGATTATCAAGCAAACAGCTTCGGCAGATTCTTACGAATTGCTGCTTCTATTTGCTCACAATTCTACGATGTGAACATCTGACATCTGCCCACTTGCACCTCAAGGCAACCGATGAACCATCATCGTGATCACCATGGCCATGGCTAGGAATTTACTCGCATGTCGGCTACCAGACACTGCGAGTGCATTTGATACTTGGGATGCTTCACCAGCATACGTATCAAGGCATTGCGCGTCAAAAACCGGCCGAAGATCTTGGGAAGCTGCGGGTGCACACTGCATGCGATACAGAGTGCTACTTCCTTCACCCGCCAGATACATGTTTCCTGTGCTAGCATCGTACTCAACTGCCTCCTGCAGTCCCCGGTCCCTTTTCAAGAAATCGATTGACTGGTACACAGTTGACTTCCTCACAGCATCATCGCAGAGTGCGTCCCACTTGTAAAAGTTAAGTCCGATGTAGGTGCGCAAGATCAAGTAGCCCGGCGAGCTGGCAGCGCCTGTCACTTCCGAATAGCGGACCCTGAAAATCGCTCTTTGTACGAGTTCCACGCCGTCGGTCAACGCAGGCACCTCGAACATGTGGCAATAATCGTAGGCGTCACTGTTCTTGGTGATCACAAACAAACGGCCATCTTTCACGACCATCGCTTCCGCGTCGAAGTTTGCGCCATGTGGATAGCTGAACTTGAATTCACTGCCTGGTTTCTCCAAGATCTGACCACTGCTTATTTCAGTCGCACTTGGCTCTTCAACTTCTATGAAGCGCACCGATTGGGCGCTGGTTCGGAAAGCCCCCCCACGGTCCCGCACCTTGTTGTGACCAATGTCTCCAATGACAATGCACTGCCGGCTACGATCCATGGAGCACGGATAGGAGACCAACGCTTCCCAATCACCATAGCCACCATTGAAGCCAGCGTTCTCGATGCCTGTGATTTTAATACTTGCTGCATGGCTAGGAGTTGGTGTGTTCGTTGTGATGAAGATGCGTGGATCGCCTTCCGGCGAGTCTGATATGCTGAAAAAATGTGTTCTGACAGCATTCAACGCTAAGCCTGACACCTCTCGATTCGTCTCGCTGATCGCGTTGTGAAGCTCGTCCACGAACTCGCCGTGAACATCGCAGAAGTCATCGGCTGTGGTTGATGGAAGAAAGGCGCAGATCAGCAGAAGATTCATCTCCGGTCGCCTGAGACACTCGTCCTATGATTTCTTATGGGTTTCCTTTGAGTTCCCAGAGATTTCCTGCAGTCAAAGGGAGCTTCCTAGGCAATGCTATAGAATTTGTAGGGATTTCAATGGTCCCCTTGAGCATTTGCCTGTTATTGTCGCTTTACTGCAGGAGGCTTTGAGCCAGCCAGCCCAATTGTAAGGAGAACGGATATCAACCGGCGAACAGGCCGTGTTGCTTTCCTGCATCACAACTAGTCGGCCGGAATAAGCGCACCCTGCGCAACGCTCCGGGGCCTCCTATGACTATCTTTTGCTTCGAAAAAGGAAATTGTAGGGAGAATAGGGCCCTGATGTGTCCAAGGGAACAATGGGGACCCTTGGGCCCCGAATTCATTGTTACGAGCCAGCTACACGAAATCTCTATGTAGAAACCCACATGTACATACGATCTGCAAGGATCTATCAGAAATAACATAATAATATATATATATATATACGGTATCATATACACTGAACTACACTGTATAACAAAGGTAGTGGCAGGACACAGTGCCCATTTTAAGAGGGGACTTGCCCTCCAAGTACCATACGGAAAAACAGATCCGCTGCTCGACACAAATCTGGCAATTGAGTGGCTGTGGGGCTTGTGGACGTTTGGATTGGTCTTGAAACTTGAACAGATCACATTTGTGTATTTTTTCGCACGCCAGAGAATCAGCTAATCATAAGCCCGGCGGATATTGCGGCCTAAGACTCGTACTCGCACTAGACCCACTGGTGGAAAACGAGTGCCAACTTAGCTGTGATGCACTTCACATACACTGTGTTTTTGCTCCGGTTGGGATAAAACACCACAAATACTAAGCCGCCTACCAACTGCAAGATTTGGTCCATCCACAGGGGCTGCTCACCCAATGCGAGAGGTTTGGAACTGTATACCAGGTAGCCCTGGCCATGGTTTCTCTTTCCTGAAAGGAACGTAGCTCAACAAGAACCCGGTGCGTTCTTTCCATGGGGACCTCCTTTCGGATGGCTGTTCAAGGAAAAAAACAACAGCTATTTGGAAGGGGTTTACTTTGGCACAAACCCACACAAAGTATAGGCCCCTACATCTCAACATGGTCCGGCCCCGCCCCCGAAAGGTGCCCATGAAGAAGCGCTTCCTGCCGCTGTGGCTTCAAAGTAGGTCCTACTTGGCCCTGCCAGGAAAGAAAAGGACGCCTTTCGCGAAACATATTCGAAAGTAAGCAAGGGTCAATAGAAGGGTGAGCAAAAACAGCGGTGACTTTATGTAGCTTCGACCAACCCAGTTTCAAAAGAAAACCCGAAACGGGTGGCATTGGTTGGACCCTTTGAAACCTGTTTGATCACGCATGGGTCGGATCAGATGCTACATCAAGATCCTCCAGTAGAGAGGTTAGAATAAGGGTACCCTTTTTTCTGTGGTCTATTTTAGTAGGGGAACCCTCCCCCAAAAAGGGTGAAAGAGCACTACTGGGGGACCTAGACATATTTCTCCTTGGCAAAAAAAACAGAACGTGTTGGTGAGAGCCCGTACGCGTCCCCATCGGCCGAACGAACGGGTCAACTCCCAGGCCTGAGCTCTGGAAGAGGCTGCCCACAGATCGGCTGGGGCCGAAGGGTTTCGTGTGCAGCGGCGCCAGTCGCCTGCCGGGCATCGCATTAAACGGAGACAGCGGAGACAGCCTGCCTGCAAGTTAACATGGAACAATGAAAGGAGAGTCTCTGAGTCCTCTGAGGGTTTTTTGGGTTATGTTGAACTGCAGGGAAGTAACAAAAGGCTCACTTGGACTACCTCAGCTGTTTTGCTGCCACCCCAAAAATGAGGTTGATTCGATTTTTGTTGGTGAACCCTAAAGTGTGAGATGTTTTCTCTCAAAAGAGATCCCAGAAACCGTGGAAATCATGCCTTCGGGAGTCCCCAAAACGCTATGAACCTGTCGCGGAATGGCTGACGAGCGGCGGAACCGGCCCGGAGGCCATGAGAATAGAGCGGAAGCACAACTTGTTTGTGGTTGCTTGGTGTTTTTAAAATGATTAGGGCCCTACTCACTAGAATGGTTCTCTGAACTCTTCTAAGAACCCCTTGGAAGGAGGTTCTTAGAACCCGTCTTGGTTGTGGGGGGCCTAGGTGTCCTCCTTAACATCTTAGGTCGCTTGAGTGTTCGTGATGATTGCGGCTATTTGGGTGTGCTCTCTTCAAAGTGGTTGCTGGAGATTCTTGGTTGGTGCCGTATAAAAGTTTGAGCGTCACTTGAAACCGGTCCGACAAGTAAACAAACAACCCTAAGGTTTGTGTCCAATCTTCAGGCGTCCCCAATTTTCGGCAACGTACATTTGCTCGTCTGCCCAGTGAATTATGCTCACAGTGAGCACCGCACAATTATTATTTGGCCCACATTTGGGTTTCACGGAAGATTCCATATCATATTCAACCTAACACTTTTTTTTGGAGGAGAAATCACAGAAAATTACTGTACCTGTCATGTGTGTTGCTTCACCCTGTCACCCCTCACCCATTAGAGACCTGAGCAATGGGCCGCTGCGCAGTGGCGAAAACTGCGTGGCCACGAGTTGCAAAAAGGGCGCCCTGCTTGGGTTGGTGAATTTGAAAGGAACACTCAGCAAAGCACCGATGGGATAAGTGTGCCACTGGGATGGGGGAGAGTTTGATGAAGGGTGGAGCAAGACACCAAGTTGGTCTCCTGGTGTGTCCTGATTTCCAGCTCGGAGATTCCGAGGTGCAAAACAGCATAGCGGTTTGGATTAGTTTTGCAACAGAACTCAATTAGCAACCCAATGATATCCACATGAGTCGACAGTATTCAGCTCATGTCACATGAGCTGAATTCTGTCACAGTGTACAAGTAAGTGTGCAAGCAACTCAAGATGCTGTTTGTAAAATGTACACGCGGAAGATTTGATAGACTGGTGGACACTTTTTGGCCTCTTTCCAAGGCGACACAAGATGGCACTAGGTTTCCACAAAGGCGCCTTGACCTTCGCAACAACACAATGAATCCTATGCGTCAACCACAGCCGCCGAACGTATACAGGCTCGCCAAGCTTCATCCAGCGCAACTGGAAATAAATCGGACGGACCTCTTGGGGTTGATCATTTGGTGAGCCCTGCAGCCCTTTGGGCAGGTGAGGTACACAAGGAAGAAATAATAATAAAAACGCCGGACATATCATTGGTTTAGGGAAGCGCGCCCGCTCCCAAAGCTCCCAAAGCCCTGCCTCTGCGCCCTTCGCCGGGACGTCTCAGCCTGACGAATGCGGGTGCAAGCGAGAGCCGATGTTGCAATCCTTGCCACAAAGAGAAGCGGCGGTGTTTTCTATGGATTTACCATGACAACTTTTACCGGACTCTTTGCAAAGTAAGAACTTGCCCTTGTGTTCCAGCTGCGCGCGAATTCGCAACAAAACTCGAAGGAGCTTTGCGTGGATGGTCAGAGGGGAAACAATGACGTTCGGCCACGGATCCTGGCGGACGGCTCAAAGCGGCGCAGGGGCAGGTCGACAATGGCGTTCCCCTTGTTGCGCGGTGATTCACCAGCGAAACAGAGCTTGCCCTGTTGTGTTTGGTTCAAAAGGGTATCCAAAAGACCAGAAAGTACTTCGCTGTCAAGTTTGAGTGGCTCATATCTCTCATGGGAAAACAGAGGCGGGTCAATCCGAACACCTCCGAGTTTTGTCCCTTGACCGCAACCCAGCAGGACCGGTCCCTATATTTCCCCTTTGAGTTCAAACACCACCTTGGCCCATAGGTGATGTTGTCTTGAGGGGAAGAAAAAACAACGTCTTAGGGAACTAAAAGAGGTTGTTGTTCTTGAAAAACCCGCTAGTTGTTTGTGGAAAAGTATGTTTTTGTGAGCAAACACCGGGAACCCCAACCCCCCGTGGCGGCCGTGCCTGAATACACCTTTCCAGTGTGCGAGTCTTGGAGGCATCCAGCTTCGCCAGGATCACCTGGCCAAGACCGCCTACCAGCGCATAGCCCGTTGCTTGCGGGTCGAACTTAAATCATGTGTCCGTGAAATTTGGTCTTCTTGCATGTTTAATGTTGGTTCAGGTTTTCTGTGTTCGATGTGTGATCGTTGTTGTGGGTACGTTGCTCAAAGGTGGGGCCCGCAAAGCAGGAGCGAGAAGCCAAACCTGCTGCGAAGTGAGGTGGTTTAGATCACCAGTGTGATGTCCCAGTCTCCCAAATCAAGCAAGAATTTCGGAGGGGTTCCAAAATGTAGGAAAATGCGACTGTTTGCTAGCAGGGCATATTAAAGCTTATTAAGCCTTAATAAGCTTTAATAAGGCTTAATAAGGCTTAATAAGGCTGAATAAGGCTTAATGAGGTGGGAAGGCCCCCCCCCCCCCAAAACCTGCACAGGGACACTCTTTTGGCCCCCGCCCCTTCCCCCTTCCTCCCCCTTCCCCGTCCCCTCCTCCCCTCCCTTCCCTATCCCCTCTTCCCCCCCCCTCCCCTCCCCCTACCACCCCTCTTACTTCTCAAAAAGAAACGATGTTTTGGTCCCTTTTCGAAGTATGGTACTTTGACTAGAATCCTAGGGCATGTGTTCTAGGCTGGATGTCTTTCGAGATGGCCGTTTTGAAGGATTTGTTGAAAATAAGAGAACATGTCCGTTTTGAGCATTCTCATCTAAATAACAAATTATTAAGCTTTATTAAGCCTTATTAAGCCTTAATAACGCTTAATAAGGCTTAATAAGGCTTAATATGGATTCGGGTCAAATCTGGGGAGGTCGGGAGGCTCTTCAAGGACACATGATTAAAGGGAAGCCTCCCTTAGAAGAAGACACCAGGAGATGTTTGACTGGGTGTCTGGGAGTAAAACCCTTCTTTTTCAGCCTAAGACAAAAAGGAACCCGCCCGACAGAAAATATGAAGTTTGCTAACTCGACAGGTAGGCAAACTGGAATGTCGAACTCACTTCTCATGCCTCGCATGTTTACAGGGTGAAAAACCCCAGCTTATGCCATTCCCTAGGTCATGTCCAGACTCGTGGTTGGTCAAACTGATGCGTAGCCCTTCTTCCTAGAGGGCAAGCAATGGATGCTTTGCTTTGGAAACAAAAGGAATTGCCCTAGTGAGATCCGTGGGAAAGGCGGTTCACTATGCAGGGACACATGGTTCCCGCGTAGTTCAGTCAGTATACGCATCGCTTGACTGCGCGGAATCGCATCTAGTAAGTCCAGCATTGAGCCACAAACATCTGCAAACAACATCCTTGCGATCCAAACGTCCAACTAATGTTGATTGCATACAACACGATTAGTCTCAATGTCAGGTCCAACAAGCTGCAAGAGTTTGCTGTAAAAGCCAAGGCGCGGGAGCGAACCAATTTCGGACTCAGCCCAATCAGTACTTTTGCATTGGACATGCTTGGGAGGTCATAGGAATTGCCCCCAAATGGAGTCGATAGCGAATGGGTTGCTCAAATAGGGCAACCAAGCCCTGGGCTTCCATTTGGGTGACGCTGGTTTCAAGCTGCCAGCTTGTGCAGGGTGAATTAAACAGCCTTTTGGTTGCTCAGTGATCTTCCTGTAGCATGTAAGGATCCCTACACCATGAGTGAGGACTTCGGGTTTGGACCATGTTTGGTCAGACTCTCTCTTGCAAACAAACATTTTGTTCTTGGTT